GCGGAATTTCAAGACTTGAAGATTTTTATTCAGACATTGCGTCTCGATCAGCGATAATGGGTTTTGTGTATGCGGCCCACAGTTCTTTAAATTATTTGCTTTTTTTATAAATGAACGCAAGCATCAAATTGGTGATGCATTATTTTTTACCGGTCCAGGATGCTAGGTATTCCTGTGTTTGCTCAAGTTTAGAAAGCCATTGTTGAAGTGAAATACGGAATGAGATTTTTATCATGTAGCGTGTTTCAAAATTTGTTTGGGAATAGGCGTAGAAAGTGCGTTTGGCGTATTAGTTACAAGGTATTTCGTTCCTAACTTTCTTTTGAAGGTTCACTTTTTTGTGCCTTCAAATATTGTAGCATTTTTGTGCAACGGTCCAGAAGTTTGCGATATTTTTTGGACTTTTTTAATAAACCATTAGCTTTGAAGCTTATATAAGAAATAACACCGCAGATCATGTGACGAAGTGCTGGTTTCTTGTTTCGTACTGTATATTTTGTTTTTGCTGCTACTTTTGGCTTTATCTTTTATTTTTCATTTTTTGATGGGTAACATTTGTATCTCTCAATAGATATGGCTTTTTTTCGTCATCGTACTAATGCCCTTTCTATGTTTTAGCAGTGGGGTAATAGGTATCGTCTGCAATCGGAAAAACAAGCACACGCTGCCAGCTCAACTCCGCCAGCTGATGATAAACAGCTTTTAAATCAAGAGACGATCTTCGATAGGCAGAGGTAATGTGATAGGATGCTATGCTTAAAATGATTATTTTTGAAACATATAACTGTTTGGGACAGTAATCCTTTGATTAATGGTGGATCAGGTATATAAGCTTGGTACTATTCCGAGGGTTATTGTGTGTATCTTCCACTCCTTTTTCTTTTAAGTGTATTAAAGATTTTCTTTTGTAAGAAGGTGGATATGAAAAAGTGTTGCATGTACTAAGGTGAGTACGAAGATGGCATCTTTGCGCTTGATGCGTATTAGAATATTTCTACAGTGTTGAGCAAAGAAGTTCTTTCTTTTACCACTTTAGGGCTTTGTTTGCTTGGCTCAGGAAGCTACATGTTGAGCGGAAAGAATATCAGGGCAGGAAATATTGTCCTGCGTTAAATGAGTGGGTCACTAAGGAGCTAGTTGTTCACGAATTAGGAGGAACTGCTTAAGAATCAGTGTAATAGTTAGGGATATCGAATGACGGAGTTAGTGAACACCCGAAGGGAGTTAGTAGAGTGAAAAGGTTAGTAGAAACCTCATGAACTGACTGGTAATCAAAAAGTAATTAGAAGAATCTTGTTTGTTAGAACTTGTTGGGCTTTGATCATCGATGTCTTGTGACTTTTGGGGAAAAATATCATTTGGGTGGTAACCGGCAACAGCCAGTAGTGTAGCCGGATAAAATTATCTTACCAAAAACTTCTTCAAAACTAGATCCGCAGGCGAGAAATATCGTTTTTTTTGGTGGTGTAATAGTAGAATTATAGATTACAGAAAATGATGTATTTATTATCTTACTTGTTTTTTATTACAAAATGGATGTTTATAATGAATCTAAAAAAAAATTTACTCCACCACAACAAACTGGATAGGAATGGTCTTTCAGGACAACGCTCGGCAACACGCTGCATTACTGGTCAGCGTGAAACCCGAGCAGAGTTAGTTATCACAGTTTTCACTCATTTTTCTCAGTTTTTCCGCTGAAATTCTGTGGATTAATATTTGTCAAAAGGCGTTGGTTCTTTAGCAAGCTAGAAAAAATGATTGTGTACCAACAGCAGACCAAATTTAGTTAGGGCTTTTTTCGAATCGCGTGAACCAATTTTCATATAAAAGAAATCTTTGTGCATTTTGGGATGTTGGCAGAAAAGTTTTTCAAACTAATCTGTTTTACTCGAGAAGTGCATTTTGACCTACAGGTTTTAAATTTATCTCTTTTTTACTCTTAGCTAAAATGTATATTTTTTGAACTGAGTCCCTCTGCATATTCTATTTAGTGGATAAAAATAGGCAAGTTTTTTTGACTGAATGCTTTCTATTTCGATTGAATTATGCTTGCAGCGGTGTCGTCTTTGAGGGATTTAAGTAGTATTTGGTAGTGCTGTTATGGTATTTAGGTAGGAGGGCGCTACAGGCACATTTTCTTACTATGATTTATCTTCACTAAGTTTTTGTTGAGATAAGATTTAAGAAATTATCCTTTATTTTTAGGTTGAACGCTGTTAAACCTTCTGTTGCTGTTAATGCAATCAAAGAAGTTGTATTAGCGGATAAAGCCGTAGAAGTGCAAGGGGAAATTGAAGGGGAAGAAAAAGCAAAAGATGTGGAGAAGCCACTTCCATCTTCTACTGTTGAAACAAAGTCTGAGGGGGTAGCTACAGAAGACTTAAAGAAGGGAGAGGTGACTATTTGTTTTTGAAAATTTTTCTTACTATTTATTATTATTATTATTATTATTATTATTATGTTATTGTTAATATTCTTAGTATTATCTATATTATCAACATTATTAGCATTATTAACATTGCTATTTTCATTTTTCTTATTACTGTCATTATTCATATTGAGGGTTCTGTAGGAATCAACTTGGTTGCCTTGATACGTACGGTCTCCCAATTTAGTTTTTGTTTTGTATGTGGTTAAAGTTCTGTAAAAGTATTTTGTATAGCATTATAGGGAAATCTGGATATTTTAATTGGTATGTGATTGGATGAGGTTAATCATTCTGGGTTGGCTGTTCTGAATATTGCATTAATTTGTTTTCGAATTGAATTAAGAGGTAGCTCTTCACTGAAACCCTTTACTTTCCAGGCAGCTCCTCAGCCATCCGAGGAAAAGTCAAAAGAAGTCTTTGATGACGACTGGGATGCGGAAGAAGAAAAACCTATTGACAAATCTCCAGGTACTGAAGAGGTTTACTTTGTTATTTTTTTCTGTTCTTACTTTTAACAATTTCAGATGGAAGGTTTTTGAAGTTCGATGAGGAACTTGGCCGAGGTTCGTTTAAAACTGTTTATCGAGGCCTGGATACTGAGACAGGGGTGGCAGTTGCTTGGTGTGAACTGCAAGAAAGCAAGCTGAACAAGGTTTTTTGCGTCTAGTGCAACATTATTTCTTAATTACTGTTCTTTTTATATATTTCGCTTAGGTGTTTTTGTGTCTTACTCATTTTGGGTTCTTGGTAAAAAGTTTTAGTGATTCTTTGAAAGGGTTTTCTGTGACAAATCGAATTTCTAAATTTTATGCAGTAATATATATTTAATATTTATTTTGTTAGAAGACTGCGGATTTTTTATTTGTATATTCATTTCTGGATATTTTGCCTAAAAGGTTTTTTTCTTCAAAGTTCAATATTAGTATTTTAGGTGGAGAGGCAAAGGTTCAGGGAAGAAGCGGAAATGCTTAAGGATTTGCAGCATCCGAATATTGTGCGATTCTATGATTACTGGGAAGGTCAAGATCATGCCGGCAAGAAGAAGTAAGCGTCCTATTTCAGAAATTTCAAATTGTTAATTGTCTCAATGGAAGCTTTTGTTCCGAACACTCTTTTATGTGTTTTGTAATGTTAGAAGACAAATCCGATTTTTATTTAACAGTACTTTCATAGAAACTTTTGGACAGACCTTGATTGTTTAAAAATATGGAAAAAATTCCAGGTACATTGTGCTTGTTACTGAGCTGATGACCTCTGGTACATTAAAAACTTATTTGAAGCGGTTTAACCGTATTAATATCAAAGTAATTTTTGCGTTATTTTGAAGATTACGAACAAAAGGCTACTTTTCTTCTCCTTTCTTTTTTTATTTTTCGAAATGATGCAGTAGCCTGTTACACGCTGTTATTTGCAGGTTCTCAAGTCATGGTGTCGGCAAATTTTAAAAGGTCTTTCTTTCTTACATTCTCGAAACCCTCCGGTTATTCATCGTGATCTCAAGTGCGACAATATATTTATTACTGGGACAACGGGTAGCGTCAAAATAGGGGATCTAGGGCTTGCTACGCTGAAGAACAAATCTTATGCGAAAAGCGTTATTGGTGAGTATTACTCATAATCCCTCTCAGTGATAGTGTAAATTAAGATTGTTAGGCCAAGTGTTTTATATTAGATTGACAGTGGCGACAGTTTGTTCCTTTAAAGGTACACCTGAATTTATGGCTCCTGAGATGTACGAAGAACAGTATGACGAAAGTGTGGATGTTTATGCATTCGGAATGTGTTTGCTAGAAATGGTTACTGGAGAATATCCTTATGCAGAATGCCAGTTTCCTGGTCAGATATATCGAAAAGTGACTATGGTGATTCTAGCATATATTTCGGGGAGTCAGCGGGGGGGCACTTTTAAGGTCTTGGTTATATATCTTCCATAGCAGTTCGTAGACTTAGGTTAATAATTGTCGGTTGCTTTACCACTATTTTAGGGTGTTAAGCCCGAATGCTTCAAACGTATTCCTCAGCAGTACCCCGAGATTCAAGAAATAATTGATCGATGTATAAGAGTCCGGAGGAGTGAACGGTATGTTTGCGATTCATTGTTTTATAAGGTCTAACTGAGTGCTTTTTCATGCTTTTTTTTATCACGTCTCGGGACTGGGTTACAGTTCTAGATAGGCATAAACATTTTAGGTCCACTGTGAAACAGTTGTTGGCTGATGATTTTTTTATGCCAGAAGAGCTCATTGGCATACGGGTTGAAATAAAAAACAGGGATTCGGACCTTGCCGATACGAATACAGAAGTAGTATTTGACATTTTGTATCTATTTTTGATTGAAGTAGAATGGAACGGCTCATCCTCATTCTGTAGGTGCTTGGAGACTTTCACATTGGTTATGTTCATTAGTATTTTTTCAAGATACAAATGCAGTTACGAGTGTTTGATGAAAAGAAACGTAAACAGTACCGCTTCAAGGAAAATGAAGGCCTTCAATTTGCCTTTGATATTGAAACTGACAAAGCAGAAGAAGTAGTTCAACAGATGATTGAGCAGCAGCATATACCTGAGGAAGACACGCGAATGATAACGAAGTTGATTAGGGATAAAGTAATTTTTTGGGATTTATGGAAGTGGCTTTCATTTATTCAGCGGATAGTATTTGTTCCTTTGTCGTTTTCTTCAATTAATGCTTACATCATTTATGTTTACCGATCGTTCTTTGAAGTTTGGATTGATTCTTTACTTGTAACTGCTTAGGTAGAGGCATTCAAACGCGATCGGGAAGTGCGTCATGCGGAAATGAAGCGGCAGCGCGAGGAAGAAGAAAGAAAGCAGGAGGAAGAGGCAATAAGAACAGAAATGCAACTGCGAGCGAAGGAAAAAGAACGTTTGGTAAGTTATTGTTTTGTTCTGTTCTTTCTTATTTTATTTTATTTTCATTTATATTTTTTGATTGCTCGTGAGTATTTTTCAGTTACTGTATTTTTTTTAAGGAACGCGAAGCGGCTGCTAAAGCTGCAGCTGCTGTTCAGGTGGAGCAGCAGTCGCAACCGTCGCAACAACAACAGCAACAGCAGCAACAACAACAACAACAACAACAACAACAGCAGCAACAACAGCAACAGCAACAACAACAACAACAACAACAGCAGCAACAACAACAACAACAGCCACAGCAAGCTCCACCACAGCAACCACAAGAACAGCAGCAGCTGCAAGATCAACAGCAACAACAGCCACAACTTCTACAACCTCCGCAACAGCAGCCTTCAACAGCGCCTCAACAACAGCCGCTAGTAACAACGCAGCAGCAACAGGCAACGGCGACATCACAACAACCGTCGCAGCAACAACAACCAGTACAGCCGTCCCATCAACAACAGAAGCAACCTTTGCAGTCGTCGCAGCTCCAACAGCAACAGTATACGGAATCACAACAAGAAAAAACTCTGCAGCTCAAACAAATGCAAGTAAAACAGCAACAGGAACAACAGCCTCAGATTGAAGATCGAGAAAAACAACCGCAGCAGCAGATGATATACGGTGCCGAACTTGTTACTCAACATGTGTGTGAAGGTGAAGACCAGAATGATGGACAAGCGGTTGACACCAGGCAAAAAAAGTCCAAAAAGAAAGTTCTCATTGAAGTCCTTTGCGTATCTAAAGACGAAAGCAACCAACAACCGGTAAGTCGGTAACTTCAACTGATTCTTGGCGTTTTCAGTCTACTGAAACCGTTCTCGATGTGTTTAGGAGTCTTTTGAAGGATTTAGAGTCGTTTTTGATGAAAACCTTTTTTGGATTGTTTTTTTTTTGGTCATTATTTGATTGGCAATGAACGTCGTTTTGTTTTTGTGGTTATCATTTCTTTTATTAATGCCTATGGAATTCTATTTTGTGGTATTTAGTTGGTGAGTTGTCGGCTGGACACTTCGCACAAGACAGTTACTTTTCAATTTGCACCTGACTCCGATAAACCAGTTGTTATAGCAGAAAAATTGGTTAGTTTTTTACAGATATCGTTTATTGCTCAATTTTAGGTTGCCATTTCCGTACTGAGAATATTCCTTTACTTGAATATTATTCTACTGAGGTTCTTATATTTACCCACTTTTACCTACACAGTTGTTTATTCTGCGAGGTGTAATTTTGTAATATCGTGGCAGTTGCTGCTAATTCTTTGATTGGAATATAATTAAATGAACTTTCTTTCAATAACTTTCCAGCTAGATCAGGATTGCGTCACAAATGCCCAAGTTGATTTAGTGGTAGAGCAACTTGAGAAAGTGATCGAGGTACGTTAAAGCTCACTTATTCCCGTTTTTTCAACTTATCGGTGTTGAATTTGGCTTGGAACGTTGTTTAGATAATAAATGAGGATCCTGTTAAAGCAGTAGGCGTCAAACTAATAAGCTTTATCGAGCCACCACCGGTGGCGACTCCTGCTGTTGACGCTGTTCAGCCTTCGACAGTCACCGTTACTACCAGTGTTACTGACACGCCTGCTTTTGACATTGGAGTTCCCCAGCAGACTAGCTCGCTCAGTAAAAAGAGTTCGGCTGACTGTTCTACTACTGCTTCATCGTTACATGGAAATGGACAGGGCAAGGTATAGATAGCTTTTTTAATAAGTCCGTCTTATATTTTTTCTTCGCTCTCTTTGCAGGTGTTGGGAATAATAACAATTTCAGGTACCGGTAAACTCTTCAAATACCGTTTGTAACAGTCAAGCTGCTGTGCTTCATGAACCTAATAAAGGTAACGAAGACGGAGTGGCACCAGTTTCTGTACCAGCAACAAAGTCTTCACGATTTTCGGTTACGAAATCACAGTTGCCTATTGATACGTCGGCTCCGTCAGTTGTTTCCTCGTCAGCTTCTGTTGGGCAGGAAAAGAAGGTGCTAGTTTGTTCTTATCTTAATAAGGAGGTTGAAGAGTTAAGAGGAGGGTTTTGCCCAGTGTTTTTTTTCTGAAGTCACCTTTGAAGTGGAGGTGTTAGAAAAGGAGAAAACTCTTCCATTACTTTGTTCTCAAGTAAGAGTTTCAAATAATCTTTATTCATCAACTGAGAATGAAGAAGATGATGGTTGTTTCAGACCGTTGTGGCATCATCTTCAGTTCCTGTGACTCAGTTTCCAAGTACTAGTGGTACGAATGCTGCTTCTGCTTTACCTGCAGTATCTCAGAATGGTAGCAACGCTCCAAACACGACTGTTACAAGTAGCAGATTCAAGGTTTGGGAATGTTTTTTTCTAATTACTAAGACTTCCTTGTTGCTTGCTTTTTTTT